AAGTTGGAAATACTATTAAAACTAGATTCAAGAATAAAAAGCACAATCGCCTCAGAATAAATTTTAAATGATAAAATATCATACCATTTCAGTTGTTTTGGGAAAAATAAAAAACAGAAACTATTATATAATAAGGCCCAGAACAATAACAGTTGTTCTCTATACTAAACCCCAATAACTTAAGATTAAATTTAGTCCATTTTAAGGAGACAGTAAATGTGTAATACATTTTAGAAAAACTTCCATCAAAAACAGCCAAAATTTTAAGTCTGTTCCCAGAGATTCGCTATATGGGAATCTTCTCATATCTAAACCACTGATCTCCCAACAACGTTAGAAAAATGTATGTAGCTTATTTTTGGATTTACTGTTCCATTTCATTTTCTTAATTTCAAAAGTAGAGTTTATGCTTGTACCCCATTCTTAAAAGAGGAAAAGCCTCAGTTGATTTTTATTTCTATGATCCTCAAGTAATTTTTTCAGTGGTTCTCATCCGAGTAGAAAAAGGAAAGGGCTTTTTATTTGTTCATTGAGATGGAGAGATTATAGCCATCCTTCTATTTGAAAGACCTTCAAATTATTATTATTTAAAAAAAAAAAAGTTTAAAAATATCTAATAACTTAATGCTGGATGAAAAGCGTATGCCATTGTTTTTAACAACAAATTTTTAAAACTAGAAAAAACAAAGCATTACAAAAATATACTAAAAGTTGGATAAGCGGACACAGTAAAAATAAACATTTTCTAAAAGTTGAAGCCATCTATACAAGATGAAGCTGAAGCAGACATGTGAACATACCCACAGGACCCAGGCAGGTAATAAAAATGAGTGAAGCAGGCCAGGTTGTATTACCAGAAGGAATGAGGGGGACTGCAGTGACTGGTAAGCACATGCCCAGTTTAAAAAGGGCAGCTACTGCCCTAATGCTCAGCTCCAGACAACAAGAATGCAGCCCACTAGCCCCTGGATTTCCAAGTCTTCCCAAAAAAAGCCAGAAATCCATGAATTTCACTCAGAAATTTTCCTATTTTTCAATGTTGATCATGAGCTGAAATTTAAAGACACTGCAAATAAAACATAAATTAAAACATATCTCTAAGGCAGTTTAGTTCAGAGGCCACCTTTGAGCTAATGTGTGAAAACTGCTTTCAAAAACATGAGGGGGCAAGGAATAAAAGACTTAGGTCAAACTGGCGTGGGTTTGAATGTTTAATTTACCACTTTACAGTAGATTTTGCTAGAAAAATGATCTCTTCAAGCCTCAGTTTCTTCAACTGTAAAATATCACTCCTTTCTCATAAATGCTGAAAAGTGAAACTCCTACCACAGTATCAGATAAACAAATGGCATCATACAAATACCTGTTATGAAAATGTTATGGTCTTTATGAAAATTTTAAAGAAATCAGACAATATATACCCTTAAAGATCTTAAACAAGTTATTAAAAGCACATCAGAATACAAAGAAGTGGCTGCCATGCCCATTCCCCTTAACTCCTGCTAACAGAGGTCCTGTACATACCCACAGAAGATACTGCTAATGTGGGAGAGGGACTCTCAAACTCAAGTTAAAAAGATCGAGTCCGAGCTCCTTAAAGATAAACAGTCTGTCCCTTTCATTAATTTGATAAACTCTTATTTGCTGGTAGAAGTCAGAGAATTAGTTTAAGCTTCAGCTTTAATGCTTTTAATGTTTTTGGTCAAACTTCCAGAAAACTTTTTTCTAAAGAGTGTATGGCACAGGCCGGGCGTGGTGGCTCATGCCTGTAATCCTAGCACTCTGGGAGGCCGAGGCGGGCCGATTGTTTGAGCTCAGGAGTTCGAAACCAGCCTGAGTAAGAGCGAGACCCCCGTCTCTACTAAAAATAGAAAGAAAT